CCCCCCCCCCCCCCCCCCCCCGCAGAGGCAAGTGCAAAAACATGTGATGGTGTACAGTGTGCCTTCGAAGAACTTGTTGAAAAAATCATTCAGACTCCTGGACTGTGGGAAAGTGAGAGCCAAAATCGAGGCGTAAAGTTATCCAACCAGGAAGAAGGCCATGGAGGAGGAGCTTGTGGTGGATACTGCTCTATGTTATAAACTCTGGGAAGTTTATTCCCTTGCATATTTAAACAGATAGTGTCACCTTTCTGTAAATTCGTTAACTGCTATTTTAGGGACCTTGCAGTTTGCACATATTTGTTTGGTATCATGGCAGTGAACATTTGTAGGAAAACATGCTCAGCAGCTTTCCCAGGTGAGAAACTTCATGGTAAGCATGCCCAACTTGCAGTCTTCATGTTTTTTATATGTAGCATAAAATAGTGTGCAAGAACAAATGCACTCAAGTTTTATGACCTTGTACCGTCATCATGTAACTACTCTTAAAAAATCCATCTAACAAATATACATTGTTGCATTATCTGCTTTTTGTTTGGATTTTCTTTTGTTTAGATACTTTTGGAATTACAGAATCGCTTTATATGCACACGTTCTAAAAATGATGCAGGCTAAAATGTAATATCTTTTACTGGTAAATGCTTGTCCTTGTTGGTATAACAGACAGCATGACTACACAATTCTTACAGCCATGTCTGTTACAAATTCTCTTTCATTAAGCAGAGCTGTCTATAAATTATGGCCTGTGCCAGTTTATTGTTAATCTGAAAACCTTTTGAAGAGAGATTTCTAAAATTTCCTTTGAGAATTTGAGCAAAAACAATAGGTGATTTTTTTTTTTTTTAAATCATCACTTCAGTTGATAACTTGATTGCTTAACTGGAGTTTTAATCCTGTCATATTTATGTACTAAATTCATGGCATTCTGTACAATGCTGTCCACTATTGTCCTGCTGTAGTCTTCACTTTTTCGGCTAAAGATTTGAATAGTGTCTTATTCTTTCATTGTGAATCAGCTTGTCACACTTAAGTACAGATGCTCTTTTCCTAAACATTGGTAATGTATATGTATCTCAACTGTAGCTCACGGCTGTGAAGGTCTATATCTCACAATGGCTCTTTCTGTGGCTATTTGTTAAGAAACACAATTTTCTGCCAGACCCCAAATATGGGGAAGGCAGACTGCTTTGGGGTCTCGGTGTGGGGGAAAATACTATTGCAATGAGTATTTCACTTGGGTTTACTGTAAACAGCCAATGGTTTACTTACTGTATAGACTAATAAATTTTTTCAACAGTGTTCATTTTTTTTCTATCCTCTTCCTATTGTACAGTTGTATATTTTTTAGTATACTTTTTATGGAGGGATTATTTCTGGTGCACTAAAGCAAAGAGAAGCCTTCACACACCCTTAATCAATCAGGTAACTGATCTCCATATTAGAATAAAATACTAAGCAGTTTCTTGTAAATATACGTTAAATATTTTTAATACTGCATTTTGTGTAGATGTCAGCTCTCCATTATAGTAATTCTGTATTTGGCAGTCACTTGAGTTATTTCTGGTTAAATACACTCTCGTCTCTGGAAACCTTGCTTTCTACTTTTACACTTGGTAGAAAACATTACCAAAATTTGAAGACTTAAATATACTAGTGGTTTTTACTAAATATTGTATGTTGAGTACTATTAATGTACGTAGGATCATTTAAATGTGTAAATGTAATCAATTTAATACACTTCCGTCTTGCATTAAAGCTTTAGATGTGTCTTACTGTGTTTTGATACAGCATACCTTTGCTAATCCAATTATTCCTGGATTTGTGCTTTGAATGCTTGATTAGGATAGGTACATGGTCATAAAAATACGAACAAAAAGCTTAGCTATGAAATACAACTTTCTGATAAATGATACTAATTGTGTAACTTTTAGCTAGTTGTCAGTTTCAGGGCTCACTGCTCTACTGTTCCATTTTGGCTGAGTGAATCCCCACAGGTTTCAGGCATTGTACCTTTATACATTCCAGTATAGAATTCTGCCAATTAAAACAAGCCTTAGGCTACAGTACCCTCCATATCAATCATTACCCAAACTCAGTCAGATGAGCAGAGGTAGCTGCAGTTCTTGTGTTTGGGAGGCTGTTGCCCAATGGGATACAGTATGCAGTCAGCTTTCTGAAAAATTGTGTACTAAAAACACACTGAAGGATATATATTAAACTGGTCTGCAGGAATGTCTTCCTTACTATCCCCTACTAACTTCGGCAGATCTAACTTCTCTAGCCGCTCTCTCGGTGGGGTCCTATGATTCAGTGAGATTTTGAACATCAATAATTAACTCCCTCAATGCACACTCCAGTAATTTTTTTTTAACTCCACTATAAACCTTTAGATCTTCTGTGCCTGTATGCTGAGGGGTGTCTTCTCTTAAGCCATTCTTTCCTGTCCTCATTTTTCCTGGCAATCCCTTGTTAAACAATCAATATTAATGCACTAAATGTACAGTACAATCCAGTACAGAACAGCTTCAAATCCTTCATACTAGTCAACTTGAGTGAAGAAAACCTACTATATCTTGCTTACAGTGCTGGGGTGCTTGCAAGTCTTGTGTTACAAGTATGATTTGAGACATCTGCCCTCTGATTTGTGTTGAAAGCTGATTAGCAGCTGTTTGCCAGTCTGTTATTTTGAAATGCATAACTCCCAAAATAATAATTTTGAAATAGTGTGTCCACATTACGGGGAATCCTCAAAATTAGTCTGAGGCAGGTCCCATAAATGTGAACTTTCTACTTTGACTTAGAGCCCCAGGAAGCACTGGGAAGTAATTACTTTGACTCTGGGGAATTCTTATTTTGAAAAAGCAGTGGAGCATCCACGCTCCCACTATTTTGAAATGAAATAAGCTTCATTCCTTGTGGAAAGCAGAAGTTATTTTGAAATAACCAGCCCCTTATTTCAACATAGCTCCCTACTGTAGACCAGGGATTTGGTGTTTGTTAAATATCAGTTTGCAAAATGAGGGATTGTGCCTCAGATACAATGCTAACTTGATCAGTAATCTAAACCTCGTGCAGGTGAAGCTCTCAGATAAACTCTGGCCCCAGTAACAATTGTTCAAATTCATAGGATTCGTGAAATTTGTCAATGAAGCTTCTTCCTCTACTCCCTCCTAACTGGCTGTATTAGGACCTATGGGCGACATACAGACTACAACAGGGGCACTATCCTCAGCTGCCATCACTGGCACTGAGGACTCAGGCACCAACTCTCCAATCTCCAGAACACTTCAGCTCGGAAGCAGAAGACCAGGAGGTGGCCGTTACCAGGGATAAGCACACATCTCGCTCTCCTCTACCAACACACACCTCATCTTCACCCCCTGATGACACAATCATGCCCCCACCAACAATCATGTGGGATGATTTTAAGACGTTTCAAGACCTTTTTAAGAGTTGCTCAGACTTTAGGGATGTCACTATCTGACATGCCTCAGACTTAGCATAAACTGATAAATATCTTGAATGCATATATCTGCATGTGAAACTGGCAATCCCCAATGAATGAGGCGCTTATGGAACCTGCCAAAAATATCTGGCAGACGCCTACCACAATTACACTGACCTCCAAGAGGGCCGATAAGAAATACTACGTTGCCCCTAAAGGAGCAGAATTCCTCTTTTCCCACCCCATACCAAATTCGCTGGTAGTTGAAGCAGTCAACCAGAAAGGGACAGAGAAGGCTACTCGTGCCATCCTATATGATGGGGATTACAAGAGGCTGGACATAATGGGAAGAAAAGCATATTCATCAGCGAGTCTTCAACTCAGAAGAGCTAACTACCTGGCATTACTGGCAAAATACACAAAGTTAACAGCTTTTATTGAATCACTACCAGACAATCAAAAGAAAACAAGGCAGGCCATTCACTCAAAGATACAGAACACAACCTTTCAACCAGCAGCAGTGGCATTATGACAATAGACATTGGCCACATCAAAACAGATGCAGAGAATCCAATGAACAGTCATCAACTCAACAGCCCTCAACATCTAGACAACAGTTTTGAAGTCATGATCGAGGATCTGACAACCCTGATATTTCCGAGGCAGCAATCAGAACCATCCACAATATTGGGCAGCAGACTAACTGCATTCTATCCAGCATGGTCTGGCATGACCACCAACAAGTGGGTGTTGGAAATTGTGAAAACCAGCTACTGCATACCATTTTTAGTTATTCTTCCATCCCACCCCCCTTGCTGCAGATAAGTTGATAATTGGACTAGTCTTTTAAGGTCAAAGGAGGGTTGATTCCTGAAAAAGGCATTGAAAATTTCCATTAATTGTGGGCATAGTTGTTTGCTGGCTTTTACCAGCCAGGAGGTATGGATTTATTTCACAGATTGTGGCACTAATATTTTTCAGGGCTCTTTGAATGTTGGTACTTGTGTTGGAGGGTGATGGGTCAAAAAATACAGTTGAGTTGGGATGGAGTTTTTTCCCAGTTCTCTCTCTCTCTCTCTCTCTCTCTCGTGTGTGTGTGTGTGTGTGTGTGTGTGTGAGATCTCATCAGGGGTTGATACTTGGGTTGGATTTCTGGGCTATGCAGTTTTGGAGTTAGTTCACTGTGCAAAATAGGTCTGCTAGCTGTGAGTCTGCTGCATTGAGGATGGGAGAATAAAAGCCTTGTCCCTCCCCCTCACCCTTTACTGAAATTGCACAGTCCTGAAACAATTAGATAGTTTAGTGCCAGGATATCAATGGTGGTGGACAATAAGTGATGGTACTGTTCGCATTAATGCAGTACATTATTGATGTGTGAAATCATGTCCCAAGATGGAGTTTGTCACATGAACAAATCACCTGTCCATGTATGACTCGGTCCTTTTTAGGTAGCACCCATTATTTAGATGTTGGCCTGAACATTGACAGCAAAGTTCCTCAGATGTGGATTGTCACCTATTAAGGCCCATTGTCAGTCAAGTACTGCTATTCACTTGACTAGTTATCTTTTCACAATAGTTTGGCCAAGCCTGTTGATGTCTCCCAGAAGTAAACATTTGAAATACAAGTATAGAGCCAATTCTCATAACTTCAGATACAAAAAATGATACATGCATATGAGCAGTATAAACAGAATCAGCGAATAGACTTTTCATAGACATCTTAGGGTGCATCTACACTGCACCATTATTTTGAGAACTAGTATTATTTCGAAATAACAATGAGAGTTAAATTTTGAAATAACGGATGGCTTATTCCAAAACCTGTAAAGCTCATCTATGAGGTTTAACACCTATTTTGAAATAAGGTGTGTGTAGATGCTCTACTTAAAGTTTGAAATAACTTAGAATGGCCCTGGTGAGGAGCTATTCCTTCTGGGGCTCTAAATCAAGATAACATGTCTACATTAGGGGAGCCTGGCTCAGCCTAATTGTAAGGCTTCCTTGCAGTGTAGATGTACTATTTTGAAATAACCCTAACTATTCTGGACTAGACATACCCTTACTTGACCCACTTTGCATCAGATCTGGTACAAACTTATAACAGTGGTGGCAATACTGTTTGGTACATTCACATTAGAATCTCTTTTACTCCAGGTGTATTTTTCTATAGATTATGAGTGTGAGACCTCTCCACTGATGATATATAAAACCTGAAGTTGTAAGCAATCAAACTGACTACTAGATGGGAAAGATCTAGCAAAGCATTTTTCTCTGCGTGCTCTGGATGCCCTCACGTGAGACACCACAGCACTTTGCACCATGGAGCTGGAGCTGCCCCTGGGCACTCTGGTGCTTCTTTTGGAAGCCTGGCTGCACTTTCTGCAGGCTGCCTCTCAGCATCTGCTGCAGCCCAACCCTCAGGCTGTCCTCCAGACCCCCCTGGGGTATGTGGAGGAGCAGCTGCAGCTCCTGGACGCCAGGGTGCCTTGCCACATCTGGCGTCTGGACGCCAGCAGCGACTGGTGGGACCACATTGTCCTGAAGTACTGGGGAGACCAACAATGGACCCAGAACTTTAGAATGAAGGACACCTTCCTGGAGCTCTGGGAGTAGCTTGCCCTTGCTCTGCAGCGACGGGACACACACATGAGGCCCACCATTCCCCTCACAAGCGTGTGGCCATCACCCTCTGGAAGCTTTCCATGCTGGATAGCTACCAATCCATGGGGAACCAGTTCAGCGTAGGAAGATCCACTGTCAGAGCAGTGCTCATGCAGGTATGGCACTCTCCAGCCCCTGTGTCGGGAGGAGGGTGTAAGGAGGTGATGGACTGCCCTAGGGAAAAGGGGGGGGGGAGGTGTTGCAAGCCCTTTCATGGGAGGGTTTGTTCTGTCCTGCCTGCGCTTAGGATTATCCATGGGGGCCAGGATTGCAGGGGGGGTTGCTCCTGGGAAGTGGGGTAGCAGCAGGGAAGGAGCACTCTTAGCCACCCTGGCACCCCGGTGACTCTTGGTTTTGTGTGTCCCTCTGCAGGTGGTCAAGGCCATCAACAGAGTGCTCCTTCGCAGAGTTATCCGCCTCATTGATGTGGATGCAGTGATTGAGGGGTTTAGCACCCTGGGCTTCCCCAACTGCCAGGAGGCGGGGGCCAATCAACGGGACACACATTCCCATCCATGCCCTGGACCACCAGACCTCCCTGTACATCAACCTGAAGGGATACTTCATCATCCTGAAGGCTGTATCTGATCACCAGGCCACTTTGTGTACATTAACGTGGGCTGGTCTGGCAAAGCACACAACGCGCG